CTCTCTCTCTCTCTAAAAGTTAAAAAGAAACTGACCTGTTTCCGGTAACGATGGGGAGGTCCTCAAGACCTCGGTGAAGGTCATCATTTGTCTGCACAACGAAGGACTCCTCTCTCTCTCTCTCTCTCTCTCTGATCAATGTGCTTTGGATCTCCCTCTCTCACTACTTGTTAAGGGCTTTTTAGGGTCAAATAAAATAATAAACGAAACTGTGATAGTCAAATAACCTAAACATTTTATAAAATGACAAAGGGATCCCGACTTTCTTTGATATGTCAAGCTCATCCTCATGGAACACAGAAAATTACCTACCGATATTATGAATTACTACTTCTCTGGATTTTAAGTTGAAACTCAAAATTTCTTTTTCCTTTTTCTTTTTCTTTTTCTTTTTTAAATTCAGCCACTGCCGAGTGCAAAATAAGAACGAAAATAATTGAGAAGAGGTTTGGTTTCTACGGCAAATTTTCAAAGAAGTATTTTTGAATGTTAGAAACTGTTTTCATCCTCAACTACAACATTCAAAGCTCCAAATATGATACAGGTTGAGTGAATCTATTGGCCGTTTTGGTAAGTAGAAATCTATTACGTGACAATAGATTACAAAACTTCTCTCGTGAGCACAGAACGAACGGAACAAAAAGGATCATAAGTTCCAAAAAAAAAAATATGACATTTACAGTAAATAGTAAGAAAATAGGAAAGATATTACCCGATATTATCGAAAATTTCCTCAAAAATATACGAGGTAAAAAATCTATTAATGGGTAATCTTTGGAAATATTTTACATGCATCTCTCTCCCCTATCCCCGCTTAAAATAAACATTTCTCTCTCTCAAGTATATGCTATACCTTATAATTATTAAGTTAAGTTGAAAGTGAAAATAGAGGATATGAAAGGAGAAATTTAAATTGATTTGAACAGTTGTATGAGTACAATTTGATGAGCGACAATTTCTACTCCAATTATAATAAAAAAATTTCTACATCCCTCTATCCCAATTTGGGTTGTAGCCCGTCATCAGCTCTTGTATAAAAACATAAATAATAAAAATAATAATTGGTAATCGATCATAAATTATACAACACAATCATAATAAAAAATTTCACACAACATAATCCAATGCTTCAAAATTTTCTACGGCTATTACCAAAACTTCTAGTTTACTATTCAAACTTTTTCCTATTTTTTAACTTGTACCATAAAGATTTTGATTTTGGTATCATATATTTATTGCTTATTTGAAAGTATATATATAGAGAAATTTGAAAGACTTATATAAAAAGTAAATAAAAATAAAGCTTATCACAATAAAATCATGTTATTCCAATGATTTATCATGTTGAAACTAAAGTCTAACCATGTTTGCCAAACATAGCCATATTTTTCACATTTGGATGGTAATGTATTTCTCATATTTCTTCCAAAGCCAAACATTAGCAATGTATTTCCCAAGGTGCATCTAAATACTATTCAAACAATAACAATTCATTTGCAGGTAATATATTATACCTACAGTATATTTCGCAAACAATATATTTCCAGGTATCCAAACAGCCCCTTAAAAATCTTACAAGTCGACAATTGAGATAATACGTTACAAGATGCACTATTTTAAATTATTTTTTCATATCTATAAGGTTTTCAGAATAACTTTTTTTTTATGGATTTTTTGAGCCGCGCCATATTTTTTACAATATTAGATTCATACTTTATATAAATTTTTTCCATAAAGCAAATACCTTATGAGTACACAAACCAGGCACTCCTAGCAAATCAAAACTCAAAAAAATGAATCTATGTATTATAAATTTTTTGTTACGGACAAAGTTGTAAAAATTTGACACACATGTACCCTTCATCAGGTGCACTAAATAAAAAGAATAATAGATATATATGAAATATGTTCGCAAAAATTTGTTCAGCCATACATGTATAGCTCATTTAAGTGCTCTAAATAAAAAAATAAAGATATGCACTAAACATGTTGACAATACATGTATAGCTCATTTAAGTGCTCTAAATAAAAAAATAAAGATATGCACGAAACATGTTGACAAATTTTTGTTCAGTTGTTTTCAATTAATGTTGACCATCTAGGTCACCTCCTACCCATGCTGCCCATTGTTCTCTTGGCATGTTGGCTCATGAAACATTTTCCTAATAATGGTAATGGCAAACTACCGTTCAAAAAAAAAAGGGTAATGGCAAACTTAATCAAAGAATCATGCGAAACTTGAGATGTAATTTATTTTTAAGCTTGAAATATATAAAGCATTCATGAAGAATTAATGCTCCAATAGAAGAAAATGAAATTCTGCCTGTAACGTTTTAGATTTACCAATTCAAAAAGGTTTATGGCTAAGTTTCGAAATTTCAGCTGTAGTATATATAATTTTTTTTTTTAGCATTAAAATTTCAGCGGTAATAACTCGTAAATGTATTAAAATTTACACATAATACCAATAAAAATCCCCAGATTTCCTCCAATAAAGGAGACATAAGATTATCATCATCATAAAAGCTTTTTCCCAACGAATTTTATTCCACCATTCTACTCTATCACATATTATACTATCAATGAGGCTATAAATCCCCATATAGTTTATCATTATTTCTAACTATCTTTTTAAACCTACCTCTTGTCTTTTTTTAACCTTCCACTTGAACTAACTCGAACCTCTTAATAGATAGCCTACATTGCCATTGCACATAACCAGTCCACCTAAATCTCATCTTACCGCCTTTATCACTTATTGGTCCCTCACCTTAAGTGAGAGACACATAGGACCAGCTTATTCAAAATTCAAATAAAGGAAATAATAATGAAACTGGTCACTCCAGCATTTCCATTAACTCTCTAGCTCTAAAATTTTCCTATTCATGCATGAAATAACACGCCCTAGAAAAGGTCAATGAAAGCTCCCAATTCCAATGGAACCAGCCAACTTACTGTGACCAAATGAGAACTAGCTGCAAAACAAGATCGAAAAAACAAAAAACAAATGTTACATACAAAACCTCATAAAACGCTTGGTTGAGAATGGAAGATGATCTGTAAATACACTTGAAAATAAATTATCCATCAAATAAAATTATAGCTTCTTCCACCATTCATCAATAAGGTGCATCAGATGGTAAAAGCTATTCCAATTAGGGCTGCTAACATGGTCAAGTTGATCCGGTGGGGGTTGGTCGACCCAATGACTCACCGACTCGAACCAAAGAGCATGCATCTTGAAAAAGGACCCAACAGGTCCCCTCTAGTTTCAATAGATCCAGATGCAATGGGGTCTAAGTCCAACATGGACCTTTCTGATTCGGATCAACCCAACTGAGATATGTAAATTAACAAAATTGCCCGAGCATTCTTGATTTGCCAAAAACTGCCAAACAGTCTTGGAAGCCTAATTTATACATCAAAAGTGCCGACAAGCCTTGGCTTGCCTATTCATATCTGAACCTAGGGCAAAGACTGCTATATTACATATAAATTAACAAAATTGCCCAAGCATTCTTTCTTGATTTGCCAGAATTCTTCTTCCAGTACATGCTGGTTTTCCATCTCCACAAAATCCCAAATTCTTCAGGTGTAAGCTCTAACCTTTAAGATATAGAGCGTACTGGTCACTTAATGGGATGACTCATGCACAACTACAGTTGCCAATCAATTGGGGAAACCCCTGCTTTTTCCAATATCAGATTCGTCTGAGAAAAATGCCTGTTGCAATAATCAAAAGTTCAAAACCCATGGATGTTTAGATGAAAATTAGAGCTTCGGTAGTCAATTCGCAACAAACAATTACATAACTAGTGCTCTCTCTCTCTCTCTC